TTCTTCCCTTTCATTGTTATAAGAATTAAACCAGTTGTATAGCTATCATAGGATGTGATTCCCTTGCCTTCTTCCAGGAATTACGTCACACTTCAATTTCCCTGCAGTCTAGGATTTCCTGGCAGTATCTTGTTGAAATCCCAACCACGCTCAACCTGGCTTCTGTTTTTGAAATCGGGTAAGATTGGTTACGTATTGCCACCTGTAGATAATTGCAATATTGATGTGTTGAGCATCTCCAGTGTGGGGTATAATTTAAGGCAGGACTTGAAATTAAGTGCAGCCATCCTTGACTATGTTTCTCTTCCTCCTCCTCTCCTCTTACATTTGTCCCACTCAGTGCAGGGTCTACTTGTTTGTACCAAACTTGCTCAGTTTGTACAGCAAAGTCATCAATACCTGATGAATACTGCAGGTGTTTTGTTTTTCAGCCAGCTTGTCATAGCCAGCCCTTGTTTTGGGCTGAGAGAAGTGACTGGCCCAAGGTCACCAAGCTGACTTTCAGCTTAAGAGAGAATTAAAACTGGGTTTCTCCACTTCTAATCCAGCACCTTAACCATCACATCAAGGGGCTCCCATACTGACTCTCTCCATATAATTTTCTTAAATCTTAAAGTACAGTAGTTCTTTACAGAAATCGTGACCATTCTAACCAAACCAAGTCCAAAAACACTAGGGAATTCCTGGAAGCCTGGCATTCTCACAATTCAACCATCAATAAGCACATAGACCAACAACATTTACATGCTGTGCAAAAGACATAATCAACAGGCCAAAAAAGGGAGCAAAAAGACCAAAATACCTTCCAAAAGCAACCGAGAGCTAGATGAGCATAGATCAACATCAAGAGTAACATCAGATCAACTGTCAAGAAGAGAACAATATCCCAATCAAAGAGCCGTCAGACCAGTCAACAGTAAACAATCCACCCACCCCTCAAAAACCCCACCAAGACCACTCCCACCAAAATTTGGTGGGACAAGTCAATAGATATATACAGTGTTTTTGTTTAAAAAAAAAAAAAAAGGTGCCGGAACTCACACGTCATACAACTTGCCTTGCCTACCCTACAAGGTTCCATCCAAAAAAGGTGCCGGAACTCTGTTCTGGGCATTCAATGACAAAAAAAAAGCCCTGGATATATACATTGAGAGCACACCTCACTCCATACCAGCACTGATGATGTTGTGGTTTGGTAAATGAGATGTCTGCAAGAAAACAACCAAGCTCAGAGAGCATCAAGGATCTCTCATTTCAATCCTGAGATACAAACATTCTCCTTTATTGGAAAAACAGCTGATTTTGGAGTTTGCACTAATAATTCTGATGAAATAGGTCACTTTTTAATTGTTTGCTTCATAAATCCATTTAGGACAATTGGAACAAATTACATAGCAGGCGATTTTTGCCAAATCATAAGGCAAACTGTTACAGAGTTCAACAAAACTGCTGTTCAAAGTTTATCAAAATTGTAATTTTTACAAGTGCAAAATGCAGTTGATGGATGAGTTATTAATATTGTTGACAGCTAAAGTTCATGTGGCTTGCTAGATAAATTTAAAAGGAAATAGTCTGAAGGCTATTGCAGTAAATGTGGGAAAAGAACAACCTTGAGCTGAATGTATGTAGCAAGCAAATATTTTAAAGGCATTTCTGCTGATTTGGTGGATCAGAATTACCCAATCAGAGGTAAATTAATGTTTGTCATTGAAATGATTCATAGGGAATGGAATTTCAGATGTGAATATGAAATAAAAATAAAACTTGAGGCCGAATTTATAAATGCATAGGAAAATGTTCAAATCTTCTTTTCAAATATTATCCCAGCTGATACCTAAAAAGAGATAATGGGGAAATTCTGAAGAGGTTATTCTAGGTAGTGTTAAAGAGTTCTGAGTTACAGAGTGAGAGGGATAAAAACAAGAAGTAAGCTACTCTTGATTCCTTATATTTAACAACACTACTCTTGATTCCTTATATTTCTGGAAATGAATTACAATATAAAGTTCTTAATTAACTTTCTGTAGAATTCTTATGACAAGGAACAGCCAGTCCAGCACCAACCCCCTCACCTCAGAATTTTCACTCCCACATCAGGAAAAAAACCCACAATCTATCCAAACTTGGACATACTGTGGTACAAAATGAAGAAGTAGTCTTTGATGATTGGAAGCTAATAAAATATATTATACTTTAGAGGAGGACAAAATCTTTTTACATGGAGAGTCAAGCTATTTTCCAAGGCACCTGAAGGCAGGACAAGAAGCAACGGATGGAAACTAATCAAAGAGAGAAGCAACCTAGAACTAAGGAGAAATTTCCTGACAGGTAGAACAATTAATCAGTGGAACAACCTGCCTCCAGAAGCTATGCATGCTCCAACACTGGAAGTTTTTAAGAAGAGACTGGACAGCCATTTGTCTGAAATGGTATAAGGTTTCCTGCCTGAGCAGGGGGTTGGACTAGATGACCTCCAAGGTCCCTTCCAACTTTATTATTATTATTATTACTGTTCAGTTTGAGCTGAAGAGAAACAGCTTCTGTTTCAAGAATCCTTGGTATAAACCAGAGTTTTGGTGGACTTCAACTCCCAGAATATCCCCAGCCAGTAAATCAAAGGAGATGTTAAAACAATGTAATCTTTTAACAGCTTAAAACAATGCTGTACTAGAAGGAATTAGAAAGGAAACTGAAGGTCATAAAAGGTGACTTTGTAATCAAAGTTAGGGGAATTTTAATGGGGCACCAATTGACCTCTTACAGTTCCCTCTTTTTTATGTGCCATTGATAGAAATCCCTGATAATCTGTTGAATCACATTTGGAGGTGGTCCAATATAAATAATTGTCTGAATAAAAAGTAATATAAGAAGCTAATGAGTTTGAAGATGTATATTATTTGCACATTGATATTGCACATTGATTTTTTATCTGATCCATGTAATTCTGCAGGACAAATCCAGCATTTCTGCCACCTGATGCAGAGTACAAGAGCCTTCTCTTCCCAGTTTATAGACTAGATCCAACAGGTTTTGTAGTTAAATTTTTACTTCAAAAATTGGAGAAAGAATAGCAAATTTCATCATACTACAGGACAGCAAACAAATTTAGTGGGATCCCATAGCAGTGTCTCATTTTCTATGACTATAAATGTGATTAATAAATAAAATGAAAGCATATATCTGCCTTCTTACGAGATCCTACTACCAATCTCAGTCACATAGTGACTGGGTTCATATATTGTATTAAGCCATAGTTTATTGAATAAACCCCTATTGGTTGATTTTCTATTGTATGCTGAACTATAAAGCATGGTTTATAAATTACTGTGCTTCAGTTCACACATTGTCTTAAACAACACCAACAATCACATCACTTAGGGGTTATATGAAACCTGGCTATTATTGTCTAAGACATGCTGTCATTGTGTCCTACAAAAGCACTGGCCGTGGCGTACATAAAAGTGTGACCATAATTTCACCCATTTTATCTGAGTGCAAGTTTATATATTTGGAGGCCAGTATCCCCATGACCCTATTTATTTGGTGGCATGCATTAAAATCAGTATTCCTTTTTTTGCTAGGAATACAAAACATAAACAGGATTGTATATATTTTGCTGTGCACAGTACGGACTAAGCAGCTGGGTTTGTGGACTTCACACTTAAGCAGCTTATGTACCAGAAAGCTTAATAATATACAGATAGCCCTTGACTTATGATCAGTTACTTAGTGATCATTTAAAGTTATATGGACACACCTTAGAGCTATGTATGGCATGGATTCAAAGTTCCAACAGTCATGGGATCAAAGTTCAGGTACTCGACAACACGGCCCCATTTATGGCTGTTTCCAGCATCTCATGGGTCACATAATTATGTTTTATGACAATTTTGCTGAAAACTGGCATTTACTTCTGGTGGCAAATATCTGTAGGTTGGATGTATGATGAGGATGGAGGTTCGCTTTTTGAGCTTGTGCATCCATTTCTGAATCTTTCATTACCAGGCTAAATAACATCTTTAGCAGAATTTAGGGAATTCTTTAAACTGTGCTGAAGGTGTTACCTAACCTGGTAATAAAATGTTTGGAAACCAACCCAGAAACTCAGAGAACGGACCTCCACCCTCATTTACTTCTGGATTTTTGTAAAACTGAACCCATAGTAAACCATTGATTCACTTAATGATCATGGTGTTTGTTTAATGATTTCCACAAAAAAAGTTGTAAAATTGTATTGGTTATATGGCCAACTCACTAAATGATTGTCATGACTTACAACCATTATGAACAGGCTTCATTATGTAGTGTATCATAAGTTGAAGTCTATACTCAAAATTACTAGAGAAAAAAAATCTCTTCCTTTTTTGGTGAACTGATACAGTTATGCTGTCCACACCCATCAAGTTCAAGAGCCACACAATGGAAACCAACAGGTTCCAATTCATTATCCCAATTATAGATGATTTTCTCTAATCTTCACCTGATAGATTATTTATCTAATCTTCACCTGAATGCATCCAACAAAGGGGAGGCACGTCTTCTCTGAGTAATGTCAAACACTGTCAAACAGCACTTACAATTCAGAAGTTATTTTTCCCCTCATACATATTCAGTCAGAATCTCTGTTTCTGTAATTTAAATCCATTATTCAGTGCTCTGTTTTATGTTATATCCTGTCAAGTATTTGAAAAACATGATAGCTCTTGTTGGTTTCTTTTCGAAGATAACCATCCCTCTTCATTTAATCCAGTGTTTTTCAAACTTGGCAACTTCATGATATATGGACTTCAACCCTCAGAATTCACAAATTCAGCTCCATTCTGGGAGCTGAAGTCCACATGTCCAATGGTTTGAAAATCACTGATTATATCTGATTATATCTCTCTTCCCAGCACCTCATTGCTATACTTTAAAGTGTTAAAGTGTTGCCTGAATCAGAACCCAAAACTAGTCACGGTATTCAAGGTAGAGTGGGCATATCAAATGCAGAACAAAGTGCAAGTAGAATTTTTATTTAAAAATTGTATTTCTGTATATGCTACTTAAAATTATACTTGCCTTTTGGTTTTGGTTTTTTTCCCATAGGCATATCACATTGTTGACCCAAATCCCACATTCAATTTACAATTTATTAGTACTGCAATTTATCCATAACATTTTTGCTTCCTTGGAAAATAATTTTGCAATCATCTCTATTAAATATTATTGATCTATTTATCTCATTTCTTTTACTGTATATAAACTACCAAATTTTATTTCTGTTTTGAAAGATATCCTATCCAGTTTTATATCATCAGCAAATTCAGGAAAGCATTCTCTTCGCCTCTTTACCCAAGGAATAAAAAATGTTTGAGAGTACAAGACCTAGGATATTTTCCCCACCCACATGATACCTTATTCCAATTCGATAAGGAACCGCTCTGAGAATAATTTTTGAGTCAGGTATGTAATCACCATCCTGCTCACATTCAAGTAGCTTGCTAAGCAGAATATAATGGGCTGTTTTTTAAAGTGCTTTTCTGCAATTAAGTTAAACTACATCTCCAGCATTCCCTCAATCTAAGGATTCTATCCAGACAAAACCTTTGCTAAGGGTTCATGTGGCAAGATATATATTTTTTTGATAGGTCATGCTGACTGCTGGTAATTATCAAATTGTTTTTAAGTTTCTTAAAAATAAAGATTTGTATGAACTGCCATAAGAATCTTTCCATGTGCTGACATCAGATTGACCGGCTTTATTGATATCTAAGAGGCCACCAAAGCTTACCTAGAAGAAGCAACTAAATCTGTAAAAAAAAAATCCCATTGTAGTATTTTCTATTGTGACTTAGAACAAGACTATATCAAGGTGAATCGGGGTGAGTGAATGTTTGGATAATTTTCAGTGGTCGGTTTCAACTGCTGTTGCAAGAAAGCTGACAGCAGGGAGGAGGGTAGGAAGAGGAAAGCAGGTGCCAGTACCAATGAGGCCTATCAGAGAAGCTGCCCAAGTGTGCCAGGAGCTGGGCAGACCTGAGAGGCAAAAACAAACATTTTCTGTTTACTTTGATTAGGTTAACAAGGTAGCTAAGGAGGGGTAATTGATCTGAATTTAGCAATATTGTGTATGTTCCCTGTTCTGCGCTCTACGTCTCAATTTTCCTTTCTCATTTATAAGTTCCTCATAAGCTTGTGTTTAATGCAAATATTACCACTCTATTTCTTAAATTAAAAAAGAGGAAAACAAAATAAAACATAGGTAAAGTTCATCCTTTTTGAAAACTTCACATGAAAATCAGGACCCTATCCTAGAGTTTCAGATGGCTCCCTCGTTAACTTCATTAGCAAATGTAATGAACCTGATGTGTCATCATCAGCTTCTCTTCAGCAGAGAAATGTCATCAAAAAAGGGCTTTTCATAAGCATCTCCTTCACTTGGCTCTTATTTTTCGTCCCGTTCCCCATCAGAAAAGAAATTGGGGTTTTCTGGCAAAGTAACCCTGATTTTCTTCTTTTCTTTGAAGCGTCCAGAATTGGAAACTTTGACATGTTTCCCTTTGGTGCTTTTGTCCACAATTTTCTCTAGCCGGGCATTGAATTCCTGCTCATTGTGGCTTCCGCTGCTCCCATCTGCTGGTATGCCCTCTTGTAGAGTCTCATCACTGGACACTCCGTAAATATCTGGACTTTCATACAATACCTTTGGAGTTGATTTTTTCTTTCGGAGGAAGGTTAACTTCCACCAGCTATAATTATTTTCTGCCATGGAGCCAACAGGAAGGATCAGTCACCCTTCGGAAAGGGAGAAAAAAGTACAGATCTGTTATGATCTTGTGTTTTGGCTAGTTTCCCCCCCCCCCAAAAAAAAGGTCAATAAGACCATATTTAGAATTCTGAGCTTCATATTCCTCATGTACACATAATAAACATCTCACCCCAAATCCCTATTTCCCTTCCAAAAATAAATTATGCAAGTTAGATGGACAACATAAGAAACTATGAACTTTCTTGATGTGTGCCTATGCTTTAGTGCCTTAGAGAAGAAAATGTGTAATGCAGATGATGAGGACAAAATCAAATTCCATGTACATGGGAAAAAATTCAGATATTTTTGATGTTTTAGATGCAGATGTTGAAGCTTCAGTTTGAAGGGAGAGACTTAAACTGAGGATAGTTTCTTTACCAGGGCCACCTGCAGAGAATGGCAACTCCTGGGCAAGTTTAAAAGTCAGCTTTAACGACAACTTTATGAAGTCCACAACCACCATAGTGCTTACATATATTCCTTGCAGTGAGTACCTGAAATGATGAGATGCTGCCTACTTGGTTTGCATGTTCCTAATTCCCTCCCCCCCAAAAAAAAATGTTAGGGAAACTAAATACTGTATTTAAACTTTCCCTTCAAAACATGGAGCACCTTATCTTTTTTTTCCTTTAATTGTTTTCAGTTGCTTCACATCCTAATTTTGTTTATTCCCCACTGATGGTGGCAGAGACACAGTATACATACTGTTAAAGTATCAGTGTTAAAGCAGGAAAATATTTGTTGAAGCTCATCTTATTTGTATACGTCTTAGCTCTGCCTAAATTCATCCATCTGTTCATGAACTTATTGTTATCATTCTGAAAAATTCAAATGCACTATATAAATGCCGCATTGTAGGTAGAGCAAAGCTCATTGTGATGCTTAGGAACTTGCGAATGTGCTTCTCAGATTCCTGTTCTTGGATCCATACATTTTGCTAAGCCACATTTATTTTTGATCAATCTACAGTGTTCCCAAGAACCACGTTGATTGAATTCATGCATTATGCTAAGCTAAATAACTCAAGCCAATTGTAATGGGAAAAAGGAATAACCTTGAGGAATAGGAGGAAGAGCCACAATCAAAACAACAGTCAGATAAAAGAAGTCTGAGTCTGGGCCAGAATTGAGAAACCATCTCCAACAAGATTCTTCCTAGTTCTCACAATAATAGGGGGGGGAAGAGAGATTCAGACATGCAATATTCTGTTTCTATAACCTAATAAAAATGCGTGACTTTGGTTTCCTAATCTGGTGTACCTTGAAGTGCTAATACCAGTGTGTCTTATGAGTCCTCTTAAATGATCTATATGGGCCAGCCTCGGATAAGAGGAAAAGATAATAGAAGAATAGGCTATAGTTATATCTTCTTGCTGAACAGAAAAAAATGTCCATTAAGAACTATAAAAAATTTTATTCTTTCCATCTAAGTGACTGATTAGCATTTGGATGGGAGGCCACCAAGATACTTTAAGACTAGACTGTGGAATATTGAAAAAAATCCTTAAAAAGGAATAAGAAAGAAAACTGCATGTGATGCTTATTAAGTCAGCAGGAGAACTCAACTTAAAGAGTCCATGCCTTTAAATTATTATTATGCATTGATTATTATTTTTCAGCTTCTGCTCATCTCAGGTGTAACTTCTTGTCTCAGATCAAGAGCAAGGGCAGGAGCTATATATAAGTGAATTTGTTTATTCTACATTAAAACATCATTTGTTTCCTGTGTATGATCTAAGGATTCTGTAGCTTAAGATACCATGATAATAGTTTACAAATAGACAACACCTTCTTGAAAGATAGACTGAACTCAATCCTGTTTGAAGGCCTGTCTATTCCGTGTGAGCCACGCAAAAAGGATGAAAGGCAGTCTTTCTCCCATCCCATGTATATCCTATATTGGAGCCCATTCACTATGTCCATAGATTTCTGTGGGAGTTGTTAAAATCCAACCTTATTCTCCATCTCAGAGGTGGAACCAGAAAGAGATATTAGAAACATAGATGAATGGTAACCTCTAGTCTAACACCTTAACTATTATACCACACAGTACTGGCGTTCTCCAACCAAGTATCCTCCAGATGCGTTGGATTTTTAAGCTTGGTCACTAAGTTACAGATTCAAATATGCTGTTATAAATCTTCAACTTCTCCAAAACCATGTTTAAGACATTTAATGTTTCTCTGAAGCACATCATCTACTCTATTTTCTTTCTTTCCTCTCTTTCTCTCTCTTTGTCTCTCTTTCTTTCTTTTGGACTCATGTTCTCTTTGTCCATCAACCTAGTAATGCCTCCCAATATATTAGACTTCAATGCTAACTCAGAATTATGGGAGTTATTCCAACATAGAGGGTAGCAGGTTGGGGAAAGGAAGGAAGGTGGGGTCCATAACCCATCTTTTATTGGGAATCATAAATGACTAGATAAATTATCTACCATGTCCTCACACCAAATGTTAACTACTTCCATAGAATGAAGAAGGCTCTCTTCCTAAACTCTGCCAGTCAGAGTTCTTTGATTAGGAGGGGGGCTGCAACATACCTTCCTTGCCTGACTGAGTGGAATGAAGCTGGGTCTGTAGGCAGCCTCGCTCTAGGCCATGTAGGACTTTATAGGTCATAAACAACATCTTTAATTGAACCCAGAAGCAAACTGGAACCCAATACAATTCATGGAGCAGAGGTGTTAGATATGCCCTTCTTTGGGCACCCAATATAGCATTTTGCATTTGATTTCATCCATCCTTGAGAGGAATCTAACAGATTGGGAGCAAGGCAGTTTAAGAGAAACTGAAGTATTCTGCACAGATGTATCTTTTCATTTTCTCCTTCCTTTTCTCTATATAAAAGAGAGCAGGAAGGATTCATTTGCCAGATTTATTTTTTTTTACTGGAATGGCATGGTAATATTCAACTCTAATCCAATGTTTTACATGGATAACAGAAAGAAGATTTTTAATTTTCACAAATTAATGGACACCTTTGAAATAGGTAGTGAAGTAAATAAATGTATCAAGACGTACTTAGGACAGAATTGAGCAAACTAATGTCCTTCACGTTTTGGGCTACAATTCTTACAATCCCTTGTAATTTGCCATTTTGGTTGGAGGGGAATGAGAACTGAAATTCAAAACTTTATCAATTTGTCTGACCTCTGAGCTGGAATGGCATGGTAATATTCAACTCTAATCCAATGTTTTACATGAATAACAGAAAGAGGATTTTTAAAACTCACAAATTAATGGACACCTTTTAAAATTGGTAGTGAAGTAAATAAATGTATCAAGACATACTTAGGACAGAATTGAGCAAACTAATGTCCTTCACGTTTTGGGCTACAGTTCTTACAATCCCTTGTAATTTGCCATTTTGGTTGGAGGTGAATGAGAACTGAAATTCAAAACTTTATCAATTTGTCTGAGCTAAAGAATCAGACCCTATCTCTCTGTTAAGTGTAATTTTAGCAGTTACTCAGATTTGCAAAAGTGAAATATGCAAAACAGACAGCTACTCAGTGGGTCATCTGAGATGTTTTTTTTTTTCCTATCTTATTTGAAAGCCAAATAAACTTGTTCCTTCTTCATTTTCTGCTTACAACAATCTGTAAAAGATTATAGCAAGAAATTGTATTTCGGTCTGAGATCATCCAGAGATTAGGAGTAATCATGGATGAAAACATGTGTTTGTCCCATCTAGATTCAAAACTCTGCCCGCTGAAGTTCTACTCGTTTTATCTTTACATCTGTTGGTAGTGATCAATTAAACATTTGTGAAGGCTACAAAACACAGTGTTCCCAGGTGTGGAGTGAGTTTCCTTCCCCTCTTCCCTTAAAAGTGCCATTAACAACATACCTGCTTCGTCTGATGTCTGATTTGTCCGTCACTGAACAGTATCTTCAACTCTTGTGGGCAAAGGCCAATATGGAGAAGACGTGAGCTAGAATGAGACACTGAGCTGGACGTTGAGTTACTTTTGTGCAAAACTGACAGAGTTGGCTTTGGCAACCAGTAAAAATGTGATTCTCACATCTCAGGTGTGTGGAAGTGCCACATACCTATTTGTGCTTCACTTCTCTCTCCCTCCCTCTGTATGTCAAGGTTAACCAGGGACTGAGCCACTCCTGCCTAAAGTAAACAGGAGCAAACAGTGGCTGAGCAGGGACAGATCTGAATATTCATGATGAGGGAAATCTAAGCTGAGACCTCTTAGAGCAATTCCATTTGACTTTACCTGCAGAGAAGGAAAGGTGGTATTTAAGGGGGGGAGTTAAATTCCAGAATTTGAGCCCTGTTGGATGTTGAAAATGTATCCCATGAAGCTTTAGAGACTTATTTACTGAGTCAAAGTTTTAAAAAGGTAAACACTTTACTTCCTCAGGTGGATAACCATGGACAATAAATGTTGATAACCATGGACAATAAATGCATTACTGAATGCACATGCCGAGAGAGGTTTAGACTTTATAATCCAAACTGAATTAACAAGGCAAAATTTAAAACACCAAACATTGTAAAGAATTGTACCGATAAGTGACTGGTCCTGCAGGGTGCACATTCTCACATGGGGACACTATTATTCTGCAGGAAGGTAAGACCCATTTTCATTCATAATACAGTTTCAACTTATTGAAGATAATTTCCGATCAAGGTCAATTTTTGGTAAAATGGCTAGTTTATTTTTTTCTGCAGGAATCAAATGTGGGAATCAACCACTGAAAAACATGGTAACTATGAAGAATTGAAAATTCACAAAAATTCTTCTATGAGTTTTCATTTTCAGTCACATATACTGTACATATAATTTTACATTACAGTAATCAAATAATAAATGACACATGTGAACAAGTGTTTTATAAATACTTGCTTTGTGACTTCTAGTTCCATTTAACATGTTTATTTTTGGATACTTCTTTTATCCTTCCAATCACCCAGCAATATAGGTAGGCAAGAATGAAAAATAATGTGATAGGTATTTATAGTTGCAGCATAGCATGTAAACCTCCTGTTGATCATATTTTATTACAATAAACAAAATGTTTGAGGACAAAATTTGGAGATGAATCACATAGTTCTATTCATGAATTGGTAAACTGGAGTAAGAAATATCTTTGGAAACTTGCCTTGAATATTCCGGGTAATATAAAAGTCTTAGTGAAGTTTAAGTTTTTATAATAAAGGCTTCAAGGTAGATGGGAAGGGTGCAATGGCATAACCATAACCTCTAATTTTGAATTAATTCATTTTTAAATAAATGAATATTAAACTGATTTGATCACATGAAAAACTTCTTCCTAAAATAATTTTTCCACCTGCAGATTTTAAGAAAAGGAGAAAAAAAATTCCCTCCAGAGACATATCTGGACTGCCAAGTGCTCTGCTTCAGATCATGCTGGGGCTTAGGCCTCTGTAACACTGGGCAAGGTTAACTGGTTTTTTTTTTTTAATAATAATAATAAGGAAATAGACTTGCTTACTACTACCATGTTTGCAAAGCTTTCAACAATTGTGACTATTTGTTATTTATACAGTGTCTCAAAGATACTTGGTTCTTTGTGGAACAGTATAAATAAACAAATAAAAAAATATAGATTTTGAGTTTCCAAAGTGTTTCCAGTCTAAACCGGACAACAGAAAAAAAACCCAATCCTTTCTTAACTAAAATTCCCATGACAGATAAACCCAGCAAAGAGGTCCTGGTAAATAAGGACCAATTTATTCATCTATGTAATCTTCATAATCCAATTCTAGGGAATATAAAATGTAATTTTCTAGATGTCAGAGCAGTATGGGGACAGCAGAATGTATACCCACTGGGAAACTAAGAGCCACTAATTCTCAGCTTAATCCACCTAACAAAGAACTCCTTGTTAAAAATAAAACAAAATAACTCTTAGAATGACATTTAATTTGATATGAACAGGTGGAACTTCCTGGTCCCTGTTCTTACCAGTGCCAAACAATATTCTAATGTCTATTTTTTTATCCTTCATTGAAATCAAAGGGTTAACATCTCTAGCTTTTACTAGTTTGGTTCTTTTACATCTATTCTTTTCTTTGGAGGATTAGTCAGACTAGACTTTGGCTCAGGCACTCATCAGACCGGTTTAGCCTTTCTTTTCTTTTTCTTTCTGTGTTAAGGTGAGGGGGAATAATTTGTTCCTTTTCCTGTTCAGCTGCCAACACTTCCAGTAATCCAGGTTAGAGACCATTCAGTTGTTTTCCCAGGCAAACCATTATCCCAAAACAGCAGATCTTTCCAAGAGATGAACATTGTACAGTATTTAGAGTGGAAAAGAATCTGTAAGAGGAATTGTTCAGAACTGAATCTATTTGCAATAATTCAAATTTATATCAGTGCACCATTTTTGGACTGAGTCTTAGTGAAATTCTAAACCTACTTGATTACCCATTCCAAGTCATACTAAAATTATGACTCTTATAATTTCTAAAACTAGACACAGGACAAACATAATGTGAGAAAAGTTGGGCTTCCTTCACTTATCTATACCCCACATACTAATTTATTTCCCGCTTACATTTTATTTAAAAATTCTTAAATTTGTGTGCCACTTGAATCTATCTTCCAGAAAAATTTAACTTCATTTATGTTCCATTCAAAATAATGGGGCTTAAGTTAAATATAATATCATCAAAATTCCTTGAGCCCTGGACAGTTAAGTATGTTTAATGGGCTAAATCCAAACTTTTTAGAGAAGGCCCTTTCAAATAAAGTGGAAGTTATACTGATTTTAAGATCTATTTTCCAGACATGTCTAAGTCCAAACTCAACACAATCTGGATTATATAAACAGTAAGTGGCAAAATGATTTTGTTACTGTAAATTTGCTTTCCACAATATGATGCCCCTAGAGATGTGTTAAGATTAGAGCTTTTAAGAGGCAGAGATTCTATAATCCAATATATCTACAGGAGAGCAAGACTGGAAAAAACTGACACATAAAACATATATGGGAAATCCATCTTCCCATCACCTGCCTGGAAGTTATAACCAGAAGTGAGATTAGGAGTCTATCTAAAATATCAAAATTTACTTAATTCTCATTCAGACCATTCAGACTCTGAAATATAAGTTTATAATAAAACCTTTTATGTGGTCTAATAAGCCATTTATGAAAGGTTTATGACCTTTGCTGTAAGCAAACATATGAACTGAATGCCAAGCTCTGTAATTTCACTTTTTTATCAAAGGCAGTTTCATTTTAAAATAGTGTTACTAAAACAAAAGCTGAAAATATTCATAATTCAGTTTGGAAATACGCTCTACACTGTGGTGCCAAATATTCTATCATATACATAAATTAGAATTCCTGGACAATTCGGGGAATAGATATTTTTCTATTACTATTATTATTACCAGGTTATGCAACTCTTAACATTAACTTCTGGTTGGAGGAAATGGCTAATTTTGAAAAACAAAATATTATAAGTTATTTTCCAATGTGACCTTACATTCCTGTAATCCATTAAATTACCTGAAGGCAGTCTCGTTGTGTAATCATTTTCAGCATTTAAGTTGTAAATAGCTGATGTAGTGGGCAGCCTTAACTTGGATTACTATACATACAATATGAAGGAATCAGACTACCGTTTTATCTCGAGCTGTCGAATTTCTGAATACTATTCTCTGACAAGCTTTCTAGAAAATAAAAATATAATTGTTCAACCCTAGAGAATTGGCGGATTGACTTAAACCTTTCGTCTGCAGATAATCCTTTTACCACTGGTCATGTCCTTAACTGAAACGGTTTAGCATTTCCGCTTCATCTATATTAGGGTTCACATTTACACGCGCACAGTTCACTCATACAAAAGTAGCCTCGTCAAAGAATCTGCAAATTTTGAGCACCACCTGCCGACCAATATCATTTCCTAACTCCTTTCTTCTGCCCTCAGTCATTCCCCTTCTCCCCCTCCCCAACCCCCGCTTCTGCTATAAGTGAGGTTTTTTTTACGGCGTGAATTTCTGCTGGCCAATCACAGAAATGATGCGTGGCCTTGTACAACTCCTTCATTTCACTTCCCTCAGAAGGCGGGCTCTGCATATTGGAACTTCCGTTCATTATTGGTTACGTCGGAAGAACTTTGTCCTGCGTCTGCGTCGATTGGTTGTTGAGGCGGAAGAGTAGCATCGCGAAGGGAAGGGAGTTCTTTTGGTGGCGGACGCAATAGAAATCATGCAGGTGGGAAAGATCATGTAACGTTAAGGGGGAGTTGGTGGGAAACAGCACTTGGGTTATGGGGGTGGGGTAATCACCTCGTCCTGAGATTGCTTCGAAATCACTGTTTCTAGGTTTCAGAATAACAGAGTTGGAAAGGACCTTGGAGATCTAGTCCAACTCTGCTCAAGCAGGAGACCCTATTTTGCACCTACATTAAACTCCTCTTGTTTAATTCTAAAATGAATGCCACCTAGTTTTCTCCGTTAACCCTAGTTTCGTGATCACCCTGGGTGCAGTTAGCAAGAGTAAATATAACACTTGGAAACACTCTTAAATATTTCAGAAGGTCTAAAGAAGGCTCTCGTTCAAATGAAGTCTTACCTCTGATTTCATTCAGGGTTCTATCTGTAGATAGAGTGGAGCCCTTCGTTTCAAGGCTCCAAAGCCTTTCCTGTTTCTGTTCCAAGCCACTTTTTAAAATTGCTATTTTATTGTCTGTGAAAGAGGCATCTTGCTTTTATTTATTTAAAATATTAAATTAATATTTTAAATAAATTAATATTGTACCCTGGAAGCTGCAGATTCTTAAAGGTTTTGTTCACATTTATATCATGCAGGGTTTGCCAACCAAAGCATCTTTAAATGTGAACTTCAGCTCCCAGAATTGCTGGCTGGGGAATTCTGACTAGGAAATTCTGAGAGTTGAAATTCACACAACTTAAAATTGTTGAGGTTGAGAAATACTGGTGTAAGCATATGGGTTATTAACATGGTCACGCAGAAATCTAAGGCATTTGGTGGAAAGACAGATAATCTAGTGGGTATAAGCTACAACTTTCTTTAGCACATATGAATTTCTAGATATTAAAAATCTATATCTACAGCTATTTAACTATAGATG